ATTATTTTAGTTTTTTGTTATTGTGATTTATTGAAACGACATGTCTAGTTGATAAACATTGTCTTATATATATATATTATATGAGTAGGAATTCATTTACACATAAGTGTTACATACCATATTTATACAAAATTTCAATTATTTATCTCTTCACTTTTAATGGTTGAGAATTATCATTATTTTTTAGATACAAAAGTAATTATATTTAATTAATGTAAATAAATATTAACCATTGAAAGTTGAGAGATAAATAATTTAGATTTTGTTTTAATGTAGCTATAAGTAGATTCTTACTATATATATTTTGGAATTCCAATCAAATTGAAGGAAATTAACTAGGAGTTATTTTGTTGATTAATTTTCTTTGTAGATTATACCTCAATTGGAGCAATTGTCCTTAACGGAAGATGACATCCTAATGATATGTGGTGAAATCAAATTTAAGGAGAGCCTCTTTTTCAATATCAAAGTTCTTCAGATTCAAGACTATCTTGATATGTCAGCTATTTTACCAATCTGCTTTCTCAATAGATTCTCCAATTTAGAGAAGCTTATTTTGAAAAATTGTTATTTCACAGAGTTATTCCCTCCAAAAGGAGAGCAGGTTGGTGACCAAGAGAAACAAGTTAAGACTGAGGTACTCTCAAGGATTAAAATACTAAGATTGGATTCCTTTCCTAATCTCAAGCACATATTGAGCCAGGACTCATCAACAGTTCTTCAAAATCTTCAAACCCTTGAAGTGTGGAGATGTCATAGTTTGCCTTTTTTATTAACATCAAACACAATATCTCTCCATGATCTTACCACTCTGGATGTGTGGCGATGTAATTATTGTATGATAACATTGGTTTCGGTCCCAGTGGCCCGAAGTCTGGTGCAACTGGAACATATGACTATAAGGGAATGTGACAGCCTTACTGAAATAGTTGGACACGAAGGAGCTAGAATAGAAGATTCAGTTGTTAATTTCAACAAATTAAGAATTTTGAAACTTATATGTTTGTCGAGATTAGGAAGCTTCTGTTCGGAGAAATTCTTATTCAATTTCCCATCTTTAGAAATGGTAACTGTGGATCAATGCCCCAAATTGAAGATCTTCAGTGAGGGAGACTTACACACACCGCTATTGCAAAGAGTGGAATTAATTGGAGGAGAGGATAAGTCGCTTTGGGCAGGTGACTTAAATACCACCATACAAAAAATGCACACAGAAAAGGTATGAATTGATTTACAAATATTTGAAGCTACATATTGTTTTGGTTTTATTTTTTATTTTATTTTTCAATTATTGTGTTAAATGTATCTAGCATGTTTTGCATTACACTTGGTAGGTTGGATTTGCTGGGTTAGAGGACTTGACACTGTCAGACTTTGCTGAATTGATTGAAATATGGCATGATAGGGAGAGGCGCCAAGCAATTTTGGATTTCAGATTGCTTACATTTCTACAGCTCGATAATTGTGCCCAGCTCTCATACTTGTTAACCCCTTCCATGGTATCTTGCCTTGTGCAACTCGAATTGATAAGCATAAAGAACTGTGCTATGATGCAGCAAGTGATAATGGGAGATGGAGAAGAAAGTAAGATGATATTCCCACGACTATTGAACATTAAGCTAGAGTCTTGTTCAAATTTGATAAGTTTCTATGTGGGAAGTCATCATCTTGAGATTCCAAGTTTGGAAGGAATTTTTATAGAAGAATGCCAAAATATGGTTACGTTCGCTGCTTCTACATCGTCTGGAGAGCATGAAAAAGAGACATCTCATCAATACTTTTTTAGCAGCAAGGTTAGTTTTCTTATTCTTTTACGCTTTATTGTTAGTTGTACAATATTTCACTGCTTGTTTCTTACATTTCCATGAGTTTATGTCATTTTCATAAGTTTATGGATATAAATGCATTTGATGCCTATCTTATGCACATCGATAAGAAAGGCTATATAAAGAATGCATTTGCATTTATCCTTTTTTGGGAAGAAAAAACATTTGCATTTTTTTGGCCCAAAAATACATTTACATTTATTCTGTGGATTATATATATTAAATTTTGTCCAATT